TCCCCCAGCATATGCCGAATTTACGTGTACCTTTCCCGGACCATCCCCCCCCAGATCCCCTAACTACTCACTTCGTTCGCCAGACACAACTCCGCTAGCGCCTTCTACGAAGGCTGGCTTTCGTAATATGAGATCTAGGATTTGGTTAGCAATCCAGTCACGGTCATAGAACGAGTGCATCATCTGTTGAGTCGTTGTAGTGCTTCTAGCAATCGAATGGGTCGATTACTCGAATCTTCGGAGAATTACCCTTGCCTTTTTGGAATGAACTTGCCGAGGTCGAAGCCGACGATGTAATGTCATATCTTTTATCCTTTCCATAGGTCATTCCTTGTCCCCACATTAATAAGAGACACTTCTCCATGGCCTTTGCCCTTGGCATTGCTACGGACCAAATAGGTCTCGTATTCCAATTACAACACTTCCGGCGGCCATGGCTTAGACTGCATCGTTATCCATATCAAGACCTTCATCCATGTACCAACCAATGTATTCAACCATGAAGTCGTCCTCGGTGACAGAATGAAAGGCCCCGTCATCCCATCCCACTCATATAGGACACCAAGATCCTCAATGAAGCCGGCGAGGGATTGCGATTGAAATTCATATGAGGCTTTTGGATCATCATTTTCCATGGCGAACATAAGGTCTCATGAATCCCTTGCCATTGCGGTTCTTCCAATCCCGCTTGTAATAATACTGGGAGAAATGGTTGAAGGATTTGCGATGATGCTTATGTTCTTGCTCTTAAATGCGAGGGTATTAGATTCAGAAATTCATTAATTATCTTTTCGACAGAAAATTTGTCGTATAATATGGTACGGATCATGAACTTCTATCATTCGTGATATTATTATTTTAATATATCTATTTAATTAGGATACCTTCATTAAATCAAATTATTATCGATAATTCCATCATGCATATTTCCTTCTTATGTAAAACGATATAGCCTCACTAACTTACCTAACAAAGATTCCTCCATCACGGGTTCCAATAGCATATAATTCACGGAGCCTCAAGATCCTTCCGGAGATTCAATCTACACTCGAATAATCCAAATAGCTATTCTCAACCATCCTTCTTGCCGAAATCGTCGAAAAAACGGAGGAAAAAAATAGAACGAATGGCCCGAAAGCATTCTTCACCACGTAGAATATAAATTGTGCGTTAAGTGTTTAATATAAAATGCTAAATTTAGTGGATCAATGCAGTATGTAGATCTTTCTGTGTATGTAAATCTGGATCTGTGTATGAGTATATATCTCTTTATATATGTTTCTTTAATATGCAAGAATACCTTTTTTCTACAAATTATTGACCTCACGCAAAAAAAAAAACTAATTTGCCTAAACATACTCTTAATTCAAAATAAATCTAAGAATAAATTCAATAAATCCACATAAGCCAAATATAGGCCCAACATAGCTTAATATATATCAAATTAAATCCAATATAAATTCCAATAAGAAGAAAAATCCATTTTCGTCCTAAAACATTATATTTTCTATATAATTCAAAATATAACAAAGTATTAAATATAAATCCCACCTCAACCACAAATAAAACCAAAATATATAGCCCAACATAAACCTCAAATCAAACCTATATTAAATGATATATTAATCCAATATTAAAACATATTAAAATATATTAAACCAATTTTATTCATAAATTAAATCCATATTTAATCAAAATAAAACCTATATTTAATAATATACCAAATTTTAAAATAAATATATATTCAATCATTGATTAAAATCTATTCAAAATTATATCAAAAATAAAATTCAAAATCAAAAATAAAATCATTTTTCCTATATTAAACCCTATAAAATTGTATATTAAATATATTTTAATATATATTAAGCAAAATTAAATCTATTAAAAATTTATATTAAATCAAATATACTATAATATATCAAATCGAACCTAAAATAAATTCATATTAAAGAATTTTTTTCACCCCAAATATAAACATATTAAATTAATCTAAAATATATATTAAAACCTATATTCGGCAATTATACCATATCAAAAAAGATACATTTTTTTAAAAAAAATAATCCCCTACGCCCTAGCGAACTATTATACCAATCAATATTTCCTTTGCCGTATATCATAGAAAATACGCCTTGATCCCTTCGATGCGGATAAATTCCAACTCTATCATCGATAACGCTCAAAAAGAAAGATTAGATTATCTATCATTACCCACTCATCCCCTTATATAAATAGTAAAATCCCAATTCCCTACACCTTATAATATTTCCCTAAAATTTCAAAAATATTTTTTGTCACGGAATATTAAATCGCTATGGATCTTCATCCCATACATTTCATAAAACTAATTATTCGCATCTTAAAGCATCATACCCTCGGGATCTCTAAACATCTTTCCTGCTTCGCCCTCCAACACATACTCCATTCTAACACCTCGATTGCCCATATCGGGCAAGGACATCTTGTCAATTGTCAATATCCATATTCACAACGTCGCCGCCACCAATCATATCGCCCCCATAAGGACTGCTAGCTACACGAAACGCTTGTAAGGCTCCTGTGTGGCTTACACCCCTTGGTGCAGCCCCCACCATCTTCATTCGTCGAAGTATGTGGCGGACAACATCTCGTTGTCCTGCAGGGAAGTCACCTCAGCCCCAATATCGCGGCGTCTTTCGACCCTCCTCTTTACTCCGCGGCCGAGCCAGGATCTATAGACCAATCCCTCCTCTTGCAAGAAAGAAAGGAAGGGGCAATACGTCTCTCTACCTCTCCTGTGCTCGCATCACGACAAAAACCGCCCTCACAAAAAGAAGCAATCCTCTGCAACGCTCCTCTGCAGCATTAAAAAACAACTAAAGACGCCCTCTCCTGCCAAGATGTCGGGGTGCCCACTCACTTCTTGATCACCCGCTTCTGCTTTAGGGGGGGATGATCTGTCTTGCCTTTGTTCTTGCCAGATCCTTTTTGCCTCTCTCATTTTGCGCTTCTCCTTCAGGACCTGGCCCTCCTCATGCAGTCTCTTGGCAACATGCTCCGTCAGGCTGGGGATGGCGATGCCTCCTCCAGGTCTGTATCGAATACCCATGAAATAATCAGAGGCTTCGTAGCTGGGCTGTGCAGGGTTCCCGACGTGGGCCTCACACAATAGTTGTTTTCTGCGCACGATCATCTCGAATGCCAGACTATATTGCATACATTGAACCCGTCGAACTTGATTACTACATCCAGCACCTTGCTCAACACTTCGTCTTCAAAGACAACTCGGTCTCCTTCAGGGATGCGGGCATTCTGCACCCATGACAAGTGCTGCCCGTAACAACTCTCTGAAATTGCAGAATTGCACGTAGGTATTCCAAGCAAATCCTTGGCGACAAGGGGAACTCCTTCATCTCCACCTGCCTCATGTTGAATGGATTCACAAATCCCCGGGATCTTTCACCATTGGGCCCATATTTGATTGAAAAAGTCCTCACGTCATCACTGACCAAGGGGATCATCACCCAGCTTGGCCTCCATAGACCTGGCGCCTTGGATGACCTGTTTCACACAGCATGGTTGCATCTCTGGGCCCTCACGATGAAATCTGTTCCATCACGTGTACCAAAGCATGATTCCCTTCTTAAGGGCTCCCTGCGGCCAATGTGAGCTCCTCTCAAACCTTGTGCCCATCAACATGCTCAACCAATACCCACACTTCTACATCATCACCATCATCTCCGCCGCCCACAACTGGAGCTGCACCTCCAGCGGCGGCAGCAGCTGCTCCAGCAGCCGCTGCACCTCCTCCTGCTGGAGCTGCTGCGCCAAGACCCCTCCTCAGCTTCTCAGCTTCGGCAGCTCGTTGCCCCTGTGCCATGATCCTGGCATAGTCTTGTGCGGCTATGGGCTAAAATGCATACAGTAAATTGATCCTCTCGGCACCCCTCTTGGGATTGCCCCTGTAGTGCTATGAAAGAACTATGAATCATCAGCATTTCTGGCGTTGAGCTCTTCCGGGTACAAGTCCATGTCAGGAGTGGCTATGAGCCATTCATCTCCCTCAATGTGAGCTGTTGCCAATCGTGTATGGAACACACCTTGATATCCATTGCACTGGACAAAACAAAGCTCACCAATACCAATGCTCATTGATCAAGAATTTGAAGTCCGTGCGGAGGTACCAACCTTTTCCTGATTTTCCCTTGACTGATAAAGTGACCTCGTGTTCACCTCTATCGTTCTGTCTGACCGTGATCCGCAGCACTAGCACCAGGGTCAAAGCCAGCAAAAACAAAATGATCGCTACTCCTCCAGCCCAAAACCTCGATTGATCTTGTCGCCCTTCGGGGAAATTGCAGCCGCACTGGCAGTGGCAGGGGGCGGGCTCCCTTGGTGGCTCTCGGCTCAAATACCACCCAACCAGGATCCCTCCACCAGCCAACGCCAGGGTGTGCGCTTCCATAAACGCCCTACCCTGCAACTCAAATAAGACTTAAGAACAAGACCATGGCAAACATCGTTTATATCCGCTCGTCAAAAATCTGCTTAGCAGAAAGGAATATAGTTGTAGGTCAAAACCCGCAACCCCAAACCACGATAGGTTCACCTCCCAAGTAGATTATTCTAATCATTCTTGGTGGTCAATCAGGGAGTCCCGGTTTTGACCCACAGCCATATTAAAACATAAAAAACAATAGATGAATAATATAACATACTATATCTAGTATAATATATATATATATTTATTTATAGAATTATTTTGCTTAAACATCGATGAATCAATGCTTCAATTGGGTCAGATGCACTTTGTCACACTTTACCCGGGACCCAAAACAGGAATTGAGGCCAAAGACATTCCAGCTGATCTCGAGCGCAAGGGATCAGAACACCTCATCTGGACGGACCTGAAGGTTGATGATATTCTTGTCATCCAATTTGTTTACACTGAATAGTACAAAAACACAATGACGTTCCGGCTGGAGATTGCTGGATGTTTCCAAGTTGACAGTTGACATGACGTTTGGTTGACCAACCCGCTTGAGCTCGCTTTGAAGGAAAAAAACGCCCACGGATGGGGTCTGAAGTCACATCATCGGCATCTTGGCCGATTCAGCTGGCAAACAATTGCTGCGTCCGACTGATGTCCTCCAGTGTCTTGGCCACAGGCACACCCTTCGCAGGCCCCAACCTCGCAGAATGGCTTCGGATGTTGCCTTGTTGGCCGGAAGATACCATGTTGTCCTATGTTCCATGACCAGTTATCTGAAAAAAGCAACACGCACAATTACGTCCAACACACCCAGCGTTTTCTGATAAACGCCGTGGCACCGGTACCAACAACATATCGCGAGCCAAGACCTTGAGATGATAGGTTGACAAAGAAAAAAACGATGAGTTATTTGTGAGAAAGATCGTGTCAAATAGGGGCCTCTCAATGTCAAATGTGAATCATCCACCCCAAATTCATTGAGAACCTGAAACTATTCTGTAGACAAATATGCATGATGTGTATACTGTATAAAACATAAAGAACCGTTCCATATAAGAGTTTTCCTTCTCACAAAAATGATCAAACATGTCCGTTTCAGACTTTCAGGTCCCAATGCTGGTTCTCTTCTTACTTCGTCATTCGGGGTTTTCTCTGTCCATAAAGTCTGTGGCCAACCCAAGGTCCTAAACTCACGAAACAACAAAAGGCACCCAGGCCTCAAAGAACCCCTTTCGGCACCAAAAGCATTCCTCACTCTTATCTAAGCCAGCAGACTGGGCTACGATGCATTCATCAGCTCCGCTCTCTGCCTGAGAAGAAGCAGTCGAATTCATCGCACTCGCTCTGGTACGTCCGGACTTGGCTGATCATAAGCTGACCCAATGGTCTACACCTATGCAAGACTCAACACCGAGCTACTGACAGGATTCGCCAACAAGGCGAACAATCGTCCGGGAGTCCTAAAAGATAGTGAGAACCCATGGCCTTTCGCAGGTCAAACGAGCATTATTTCAGCTTCGCCCCAAGTTCGTGGAAAATTCCGAGGAAAGGACGGAAGCGCTCATACGAAGTATCGGTCAGCAAGTGATTGAATTGGTTGATGTTTACTTGCCGGAATCACAATATACATAGACAGGAACGCAACAATACGGGACAAAAGACTATGGCGAGAGTGGCCAAGGGTGTACATAAGGGGACCATGCAATATAAATATATCTTCAGAATGTTAGTCATTGCTCTAGATGATCAAGTATAAAAATAACAATGTATTATATATATACATGGTATATACATCAACAAGCCTGCTATCTCAGGGTTGCCAAGCAAGTGGATATAGTACATGATGAAGATGTTCTTTATCATAATGTACAAAACTGATGTTGGATAGTAGCTTGTGGAGGGCATCTCCAAAATATCTGCCAGAATTAGGAAGATTTCATTTCAAGAGTGCAAGGCAAAACACAAGAACATAGTAGAGTCAAGTACCTCATCATTCTGTGGAGCTAGTTGAACATATGTGGTTCTTACCACGTACTATGCTACTATGCTACTTACCACACCATCTCAAGCCGTCTAAACTCCAATCATGATTAATTCAATAGTTGCAACCCCAAGGGCAGCTGAAAGTAAGGCCACCAAAAAACAAAACATATATCTGCAATCATATCTAGTTATACATAATATTATATCTATCTAAATTATACAATCATTGTAGAATTGTGCACAATCTATTTGACATGTGTTCCCACAATCTTGTACTCTCGCAGTACTCAGGCAATGCAAAAAAAACACATCCGATTTCAAGGCAATTGAAGTCAGGCCAAACCAAATCGAACCATCTTGGAGAGAATCAGCCCTCCGAACACCCTGGACTCACCTCGGACAGAATAGAACACAACAAGGCTTTATGTATGTCGTACTAAGGCTTACAGTAAATGTTCCCCTTCTTGGGAGTCTGAGACAAGGGTCACAACACGTCACAACCAAGACTAAAATGACTGGACTGAACCTCAATATCCCGAATGGTCCTACCCATTTTCAGGCGAACACAAGATGTGAGAGAAACATCTGCTGCTGAGAACCATGCAGAGACTTCACCGCTTGGCATAAAGCAAGCCTGCCGCTGCGTGACGAAGGAATCTGAGGTTTTTCATTTCTCCAACGGTGTGCCAGGTCTTACCATTCATATCGCATCATGGAAGACCATGGAAGACCCTAAACGTCAACCCTGTAGCACCGTCTTCCGGAACCAGCATGCTATAGCTGTGCCCGTTGGTCACTACCCTCCCTGAGTTGCGAAGGAAGAAAACTTCCCAAACGACATGGTGGGCTCATGGGCGCAGTGATCACTCCTAGGTTTCTAGCGCGCAAACGTGGAAAGGTCACACCGGCGGCTTGGAGGTTGGAAGTCGTCAGACCTTGACCCGTTTTGCTCGCGAAGCTGTGCATCTCTGTTCAACCTGCAACATCGAAACAAGCTGACACGAACCAAGCTGAAACCCAACCTGAAGCAAGCAAGTATCTTAGCAACCAGCCTGAACCAAGCCCGAAACCCACCCAAGTGCGTTCCTCCATCTTCACCCGCCCGCGTGTGCCGCGTGTGCCGTGTGCCGCACCGGCAGGATCTTCGGATCCAGTGCGGCGCCCAGCGACACGGCCAGACGTCCAATCCTCGTGCAGGTGCGGCCCCGAAGAGCTCGGTCGATGAGAGGGTGCGGCTCGGTGTCCGATGGCGATGGAAGAGTGAGAGAAGCAGGTTGGATGAGAAGCACGAAGAGGTTGAATGAAAATGGTGAAAAATGATGGGGAATCACATCATGTGAAACATCGACATTGCGTTGGTTGGAGGTCGAAAAAACAGTGTTTTTTGATTATTCTTTTTTCAGCTTCCAAAATGAAAGCATGATATAAGTGGTCCTTGCAAAGAGAAGAAAGCGATGCAATGCAGGATGGGCTTAACAAACACCAAAGACGAAGTGATCTGTGCGTTCGCAAATCAGTGGAATTGAGCCCACTCTAGGGTCCGAGTTTCCATGTTCCTGTGATTTCCACTGGAGTCAATAAGAAGGGAATCAATCAACACACCCATTGAATGGAGGAAAGCTTGGCCTTCAAATGAGTGGGGACCAAACCAAGCTGACCTGGTCGTAGAACTCTTGCATGGTTGGGCAACGAGCTCTGAGTACCGCTGCTTTGTCGGACCATCATTGCATTGATGCCGGATGAGAAAAGCTGATGAGATGGGTGTGCCCTGCCTGGAGTCTTAAGCTCCAAAGGAACAAGTGGCAAAACAAACATCGGCAGCTACAATGATTGGTTCTATACAAATCCAATCACTACAGCATTCGATGTGCTTTGCCATCTTTTTCTTTGGAGTTCTATTCCAGAGAAAAGCTATTAGACCATAATGCCATGCTTTCGGTGTCAGCTTCGGCCGGAAGGCTTGACCGTGCCGTCAGTATCATATACAACATTAAGTATCCAGTGATCATTGCGTTGCTGAGCAGCCATCTTTGTTGGTGAAGTCAGGGTTGGATGTGTTTGCCTCACTAAGGACTTTGGGGGACTTCCTACTTACTGACAACAATCAATCAAACTTAATATATATATATAGTTGGGTGCCAAAACCGTGGGGCCATCGGTTGACAGTCTAGGCATCCTCAGTCATCTCAATCTAAGAACCGCTAGAACATCCAAGCGTATCAACAGCGAAGCAGAAAATAAGTATTAACAGGTCACCTGGAGAGTCTGAAACAACATGAGCGACCCGCCGATGGGCGACGGCCTCACCTGACGCCCCCACCAAAGCGGCCCTTCTGAGCTTTTGGCGGAGTGCCCGCTGGACCGTTGAGCGAGGAGGCTTTGGCAGATTGCAACTGAGAGGAATCCAGATCGGTGGAGACGGGACTCGAATCCCCTCGAGCGGATCGGAGAGCTTCTTGCTTGCAAACATGTCCAGATCTTACATGCTAGAATGAGATCATGAATGCCCCGCGCGTGTGTGTGAAAGAACAAAAGAGCTCGGCAAGCCCCACTCGAGTTCAGATAAGTATATATACGTACAACTTTTTGAACGCCCTGATGGACCAGGCCGACTCCTCCGTCTCCCCTTTGCCAAGGGACTTCCTGTACAGATTCTATCTGGTCTGCATGCGTGTGTTTTTTCATGAGTTTCATTACATTGGAAAATCTTGCAGATGGAGTTTCACCCACAACAAACTGATTGTTGGGATATCAGTTCTGGACTTCTGGTAATTGAGGTGATCAAAATGAACCAAGCTGATCGAAGGACCTCTTTCTTTCGCATCAAAGCACCCAGGTCCCACTCTTCAGTATGGCCACATCCACCCGCGCTCCGCGGCGCTCCGCCACGCCCCCACCTCCAATTTCAAAGACACAGCGGCTGTGCACATCTCAGTGAGAGATAAAGAATGCTTCTGTGGTGCTGGGGGACAAGTGTCATAGACTTAGTGCAAACCCTTTAAATCGAATCGTTATGTTTGCACGCGGGAAACCACACCTCAAATACTGATCTGTGATTCATCGAAGGTGAAGACCCTCAACGGTGTGTGAAGCAGCAGGTTGAATGGTGTTGGTCAGAAACTGCAATGGTTGTTGTTGTTGTTGTTGCTGCTGCTGTTGTTGTTTCAATTATATGTTGGTTTAATATATATTACATAGGACATAAATGTTGTAACTATAAAAGGATGAGACACAAGGTCGGTTCTGAGACTGGGTTAATTATGTAATAGTTATGATAATATGGAATATGGGTTGGAAAAGTTGAGACACATCGAGACAAATTGTCTTTGTACATCCTTTGTGTGATGCAATCATATGCGCACGGATGCTTGCATCCCGATTCCTTTTGGTGATGTTGCTCGGCAATCCGATCCCATCTATGACCGATCCACCCGTCACTGTGTTTCCAGGGAAAGTGGGTGGGAACTCACTCGACCTCAAGTCAGACTCTAGGACCCTAGGACCCTAGGACCCTGAACCGAACTGATCAGCGGCATGATTGAAATATCGATCTGATGCTTGGCATAATGGCTGTATAAATAATTACCTGAGGGGAGGGTGATGATCGATGGAAGTGATTCATGAATTATGACGAATTAGGTTGTCCTTGTATTTCTGAGGTCCAGGTATAGGCACATGTCTAATATATGGTTTACTTTCAGTCGCTTTGCAACTGGATCCGAAGACACATTTGTGCTGGGCTTGTCTGTGGACCAGCTCCGCGTCCTTTTGGACAAGTACATGTTTTCACTGTACATCATGTACACTCCCGAAAACTTAGACCCTGACGTCCTGGTCACCTGGGTCTGATGGTTTTCCACCAACCGACGTGGTGTACTCAGGGTCCATGTGAGTTGACTCGGGTGTCATGTACATCCCCACATGGGACACGAGGAATCGGGAATCGGCCAGCCGTATATATGTCTTTTCTTCCTCCCCGAAACAGCACCGGACTTTTTAGACAGACGGTGGTCAGCTTCTTCAGGACCCACGCCAGCGACACACGTGACTTGATGACTTGATGCTTCCTTCATCTTCTTCTGAGATCCCAGGCCAGCGCTTTTTCCAAGGCTTCCCCCTCGATCTTCGCCGTGGCCACCAGGGCCCGCGAACGCTCCCCGAACTGCGGAGCCGGGGCGAGGCCGCGGGACCGCGCGGTGGCACCCGATCAAGTGGTGGGGCCGAGGTCGCTCTCGGTTTGGCCGAACGCCCGCTGGTTTGGTATGGTTTGACCGGGAAAACCGCCGGACATCAGCATTGCACCTGCATTGGCAGCATAGAACAACAACGTTGTGTCCCAAACAGCCCTTCTGGGTCAGTGACAAGGCTTGACAGAACAGGTCACTTGAGGGCAACCAATGTTCGAAAAGCCCCATTCCATGCAAGGCTGCCACGTGCAACCAGTCTCGAAACTCACCTTAGGATCTTCTACAAGCTGGGAATACCCACATGTCACCATCCACATGTGGACTCCATGTTGTCGCCGGCGAAAACGCAAAAGCCGTGAGATCTCAGGAGTCATCAGTCTTTGTCGCACCGTCGCACCAATGAATATTTCCTCAAAAACCAATGAACACGTTACAAGTGCTTCCAACGCTCTTTGTACATTACACATCATATGTCTATCCACTCTACATTCCATCATTCGGGTGGATTTTTTCAGGGTCACTCAGTTTTGAATTCGACCCTCAGGCCCTAATTATACAGGGTAGCACAGTAAAACATGTAAAACCAACTACCTTTTGGTGGGTTTGTTTTGGCCCGTTTTAACCCAAAGTTAGTTCTTTTCTGATTTGTTGGTGCACGGCTGTCAAAACTTTCGATCACTCTTAAACCGCAGCTGCTTCGGCCGGCGCAACGGCGTCTCACATGTCGCAGAACGTCCGCAGAACGTACGCTTCGCCACGCGTTTCTGCTGCAGGTCTCTGTGGCTCCAAGCCGGAACTTTGGTCGCTCGGACACACCATTGAGGCTCGACCTCCTTCATGGTTTCACCGCCCAGGTTCGTCTCCAGCACCGCGTCCACGCAAATGGCGGCCGGGCCCCGAAGCTGTCCCACCTGAGAAACGCCCGAGCCGGGGGGGGAAGGCTGGAATTTCCAAAGCAAGCAGGGACCTCGGGTGTGAGCGCCTTTAAAGATATGTTGCAAATATTTATGTTGAAACATATGTCGTGTTTCTTCATCTTTTTTCAGACCCGCACCTGTTAAATGCTGACTCGGTACTAGATGGTACTGGGTGTGGAACATTTTGGGAGGGCCTTGTTGACCCGTCCGGATGGGCATGCGAAGATACTGTAAGAGGCAACAGGGGGGGTCCGAAATTGGAGACCCGTACGAGGGACCTTTCCAGTGACTGAACTTTGGAGTCCCTGTTTGTGATCTTTTACTCTAAACCAATAGCAATGGTCTCCAATCTACTAGCAACTAGCAATGGCCTCCAACCAAATTACTGGCAATTTTCTCCAAACTAAGGGATCAAGTTCGGTCACTGGGAAGATCCAGGTAATTGACAGTCTCTCCTCAATTCCTAAGGCTTTCGGTCACACCCTAACGGCTGAGCGCCCCTGGCGCGTCCGGCAGCTAATGGCTGCTCGGCCTTTGGGCTCGATACCGGTGGTCTGGGCATCCCATGAACATGAATGGGAGGGTTTTGTCCCTAATTAAAGATTGCCCTCCATTTTTAGGGGGTGGTCATCTAGAACATCTAGAATCAGTGTTGCTTCACATTGAAGACCTGTTACTTTCGAGACATCCCAGTCTCGGGAATGATGCTGTCTGGGGCACGGGCTGCGGACAAGCTTCGGATTTCCACTTCCAGTGAACAAGTACAGGGTGCAAAATCCAAGTTCATGATGAAATGAGAAACACGCATTGACTCGTAGCGAAATAGGTCACCCTGCGACATGTCACTGGTCGGACAGTTTAAGTGAAGGCTGCAAGATGCTCTCAACGGGGCCAATTCCCCACATCTACTGAATAGGGAGGTGAGCCATGCCAACTCAACTACTCCAAGATCCTTCCATTGTGGGTATCATTGAGAATCACAAGGTTGTCGTACTTAGGTCGCATGATATATCATAAAGCAATATTCTATATGTATTAATACAGAATATTCATTCTAGTAATCTGACACAGAGTTTCCACAAACTTGTAGCATCGTGCAGGTGATAAATGACTTACAATTTCATATCAAAGAAGAACATCGGCAACAAGAGCTTGACTCGTGCTAATCTGCCACAAAAAAAGCTGGTCTTATCTGTCATTGTTTGTTATGCCAACTATTGTAACTGCCACATATGTTTTACTTCCATGTGAGAGCCCTTTGTTGTCCCCTCCAATACAATTGCAAAACACAGAGAGATGGGGAGGGGGGGGAGGGAGATAGAGAAAAAGAAAAAACATCGCGCACCAAGCTGGCCAAGGAGTTGTACAGGCTCTTTGCCGGCCCCGCATCTCCCTCTCAAACAAGACACATCCGGGTGCCACTGATCATAGCCATCCGAGCGAAGAATGTTTACCTGCCACGGTGCTCTCAAACTCAACTCGAGGACCGAGGACTGGACCTGCCCCTTCTTCAGAAAGGGGTCACTTTGTAGGTTTTGGACAGCCCAACGATTTCGACAGGCCAGGTACCAAATGGAAAGAATTCTCATAAACATGACGAACCTGCCGACCGTGTAGACCCTGTCAACCCGCTCAGTGGACCAACCAAGCCCGGAACGGCAACCAGCAAACAACCCATCCCTTGGAGCGGCAACTAGGGGCTGTCGCAGGCGGGCACCTCTGTACTACTGGCTGAGCTTCCGCTTTGCCTGCGCAGAAACGCTCGTGCAGTGAGTGGCGCTGGTGGAGAACCGAGAAACGCGGTGGCGCATCACCCCCACGGTCGGACCCATCGGGTCACCGGCTTCCATTTACTCATGGGATCTCTGTCATGGGGAACCCATGCATCGGGTCCCCTTTTCTCTATCCTTGTCTGTCTGATGTCTCACTTTGGACTCACCGACTCACCGCACCGCCCACACACCTCAAGTAGACCACCAAGCCCTCCACGGGTCGCCTGAAAGCGACGACCGCCCACAGGGCCGTCGCACCCGAGCGAATGAGACGTGTTGAGCGACGTCGAACAACTGGGTGTTTTTCGATGTTCAAAAGGTTTGCTTGGTCAACATCAGATTCTTTTGTAAATGGTCAAATCAAGCCAGAAAACACTCATAAAATCTTATGAACATTTAATTCACCTTCTTTCCAAGATGAAATAGCTCATGCTTAGGGGTATGGGCTTGAGTAACTGTGAGTCAAAACTGTTGACCCTATGAAAAGAATTACCTTTTGCCCCACATCTATTTGTATCCCCCGAATCTGTAGAACATCTTGAAATCACCCCCCAAAAAAATGTTTTTGATGTTTGGTTTACGACGGTCATCCAAATCACCATTCTTGCTATGCCACTGTGACAGCCACCAACAAATCTCGTTTTTTGGAGATCTCTGTGGATCTGTCTCCCGCTCCTTCGGGGGGCCCGGACTCCAACCAGAAGCTCGGTAGGCTGATCTCCTCGACCTCGGAGCGTCTCTTGGGTCGAGCGGACTGACACCGAACTGACATCATGGCCACGGTATTGGCCATGTTCAATCATATATCCGCAAACAAACGTGTTACTCGTTGGTCTCTACACTAGGGGACTGGACATTATCACGTAAGATGTTCATATCTTTTCTGGGACTGGACATTGTACTAAGTTTCTCTTACCAGCACTCCGGCTCGGGAGGGTTGGAGTCTGACGTCCTGACAAAAACTTGATGAGCTTTTTCTGTGACTCCCCGTCAGCTGCACTTTTGAAACCGCCCAACCGCCCTGCGAACCCTTGGTGTGAATCCTGATTCGATGTCAACCCATGGGAGCATGGCCCTGGGATGTAGACTCTAAGGTTATACCAAACGAACATCATGTGGATTAAACAACCTCTTCTTGTGGGGCGCGCACATGTGAATCAGTTCTACCTGATATGGATTCTGCACACCAAACCGACGACTCCACCGGAGAAACGCCGGGGAGACGGCATGGTGACGGCGTGGCCGCGAAATC